GAAAAAAAAAATTTTTAACAGAACACCAATCTTAAAAATAAAAAGGAATTAAGAGGTCAGGAAAGTGTGTGTTGCTCAAAAACACATCTAAAAAGTTAAATTATTATGACCTTATGACCAATTAGTAGACTTTAAGAAAAAAAAAAAAGAATCCATTTGAACACTCTCTCCTTCAAGACACTTTCAAAGACTCTATTGGCCACATGGGAACAAAATCTTAACCACTATAGACCTGCCTTTACTGTTAAGAACAGGTACCTGGTTATACTGTATAACAAGTGCTACTAATATTGTTCTGCTTTTACATTCAACAATAGTAAAAAAGTAAAATAGACTTTGGAAGTTTATAATATGGAATAGAAATACCAATCTTAATTTGCAAGTTCATTTGGACAGAAATTGGAGAAATGATTAAGAAATGTAAAAGAGGGAATATTAATTAATTGCCTCACCTGATCAAATAGACACTCAAGAGATTTTCTATGTTCAACAGAAATATAATTTTAAGTATATAAGGGTGTCAAAGGTAAACAACAGAATAGCTTAAAATTGTAATAAAAATACAATATGCTGGAGATAGGATGAGGTCAATAGTGGATGTGGTAAACTAAACCCTCACCTAATATCCACCAAGGTAAAGTAAAACCTTATGTTAATATCCAAAGTTAATATAACAAAAAACTGGCACAAGTATATTTTAAAATATTGATGTATCCACCAGAAGCATTCAACACAAAAGAAAAAAGTAAATGCTTCTAGAAAGAACAGAAATAGAAAGGGGTAGGACAAGAAACTGTTGCTTTTCATTTATAAATCCAACTGTACTGATTTTTAAAAACCATACACATGACTACATCTTTTTCATAGCTGAAAGCTTACATCATTAAGTTTGTAAGAAAATTTTGATACACGAAAATTACACATATTTAATGCTTTCATTTTGCAAATACTGTTGAACTGTTTTAAAGATTTAAAAGTGTGTGCATATGTATGTATATGTATATAATATTAGGGGAAATAATATGCCTTCCACAATTTATTATAGAAAAGCTATCTCTCAAGATGTTATCATCAATTTTCCTATAGAAACAGTAGTATGAGGATTGCAATTAGCTAAAAGAAAAGTTTCAGAATTCAACACTAAAATGGCTAACTAATTAACCTATGCCATCTCCAAAATAATGGCAACATTAGTTTCCCTTTTAACAGAAGGCTGGCCTTGCCGTCTAATTTTAAAGGGGCTTTTAAAAAAAATTCCAGCCAGGCAAGGTGGCACATGCCTATAATCCCAGTAGCTTGGGAAGCTGAGGCAGAAGAATCTTAAGTTCAAAGTCAGCTTCAGCAACTTAACAAGGCCCTCAGCAACTTAGTGAAACCCTGTCTCAAAATAAAAGATAAATAAAAACGGGCTAAGAATGTGGTTCAATGGTTAAGCAAGCACTATTGGGTTCATTAGCTGGTACAAAAAATAAAAATAATAATTCAAGAATTTTTTTCAAAAGGAAACAACTTATCAAACTCCAGTTTTCATTTTTAAAACATGCTTTTCATCTTTATAAGCAGTTT